CCAATCTACTTATGTCCTTCCCTAAATGTCCTTAAATTTGTGATGTAACAAATATGGAAATAAAAGGGAGATTGGTGATTTGGCAGCAGTGTGAACTGTAATGGGTCAATTTTTTCGAGGGACGATGTATTGGTAGTAAATTTGAAGGAGAGGACGACCTGTGCAGAAAGAGATTTGTTAAGATTACCAGCTAACATGAGAGTGATGACATAAAAACAGCTGTGGCTCAGTACAATGGAACTGACTTTGATAAAATATGACCATTTAATACTTAATATTGTAGCTTATAATAGAGGAACAAAGTAATTCCCTGACTCCACCCCCACAGATGCCTCTTGAGTTTGCTTTAGTCACATGATGTACAAGTAAAAACGAAATGTTAGTCATAAGAACATAGTCATTTCCCCAGAAAAAAATTCCCCAGAATAAATAGGAAATATTAATCAAAAATGGAAAATTAAATGTAACAAAAATTTAATTAAGCAACAGGAATAATTGTGTACTGTGAACCCATTATATCTAGGTATTAGATTGATCAGTCTATATATTTTAATTTTAGAGGGCTATTGTATGTTTGCTCAATGAAATGAGATGCTTTTCTTGAGAAAGAATATTGTATTATGCCGTTTTGCTTTTTAAACAGAACTATATGTCAATTGGTGGCCTTACACAGTGATAATGCCATAGAAACAATCATTCCAGCAGTTCATGTTCATAATCTTGAATCATAAGGCTAGAAATTTGAAACAGACCTTCCAAGGATAAGGAAAAAACAACATGAAGAATCTCTTTCCTGCCATTAGGGAGGTATTGAATTGATCTTTGGCTGTCATCATTAGTTGTCCTTTGACCATAAGATGTTTTCTCAAATCATGAGTTTCTGCTATGGGCCTTTGTGTGATTAGACATGCCAATTCTCAACTTTGGATTTGGTAAGACAACACTAACACAATTTGAAGAGGGTTTCTGAGTGTTTCTGCAGCAACTACATATATGCGAACACGTGAACTGGGAACAGGAGTGATCCACTTGGCTCCTCAATACTGCTCTGCCATTCAATAAGATTATGCTGATGTTGTAACTACGCATTCTTGCACCTGATAACTTTTCAAGCACTTGTGTAACAAGAATCTAACCACCATTGCCTTGAAGGCATTCAAAAACCCGACTCTCACACTTTTTGAGAAAGAAAATTCTAAAGACTCATGACTCATGAGCTATAGAAATACAAGTTGTCTTAAATTGGTCACTTATTTTTAAACAGCAACCGTTAGTTCTAGGTCCTCTCACAAGAGGAAATATACTTTCCACATCTACCCTATCAAGATTCCTTAGGATCTTATATTTCAATCAAGTTGCCATAAACTCCTGTGGACATAAGTCTAACCTGTCCAAACTTTTCTTATAAATCAACCTATCCATCCTAGATCTGCTTCCAACAGGATTATATACTTAGTCCTTTGAATAAGGAGGCCAATAATATGACACATTGCTCTTGCTAATTCCCATTATAACTGAATCACAACCTTGGTTCTTTTGTATTTAATTCCCATTGTTAGCTTTCCTAATTACCTGCTGTAACTATTCACTAACCTTTTGCAATTCATGCATTAACGCACCCAAATCCCTCTATATCTAAGAACTGTGCAATCTTTCACTGTTTAGATAATGTGCTTTTTAAAAATATTATTCCTATCAAATTGGACAATTTCACATTCTCCCACTATATGCCAATTGCCATACTTTTGCACACTCACTTATTCAATCAATAGCCTCTTGCAGCCCCTTTATATCCCATTCAAAATGTAACTTTCTCTCTGTCTGCTGCATCCTCATGTCCTCCTCTAGAACTCAGGCAGGTTGAGAGTTAATGAACAGAACCTGGCAGGGGAAATACTTTGCAGGCTTCCAGACAGTGTCCAACATTGCAGGTGATATTGCAAGTGTTTGCCCTCAAGAAGGAACTAGCACTTAGCCAAAGGTTATTCCATTGAATCTGAGCAATAAAGAAGGTATACACATCAAAATACACCTAATCTCTCACATTCCTTGCAGCAATAATGATGGGAGCCAGGAAGCAGGTTATCAGTTCTTCATCTCAGCCAGGGATAATGTATCGTAAAGGAGGTGACAGCAGTAAAATGGCATGATTTATCACTAATTTTAAACAGTATAATAAACTTTGTCATGTAGAATACCAAATTGTACTGGATTTGTATCAAACGTGAGAGCCATAAAATCTGCCAAAGCATTGGTTCCCACGTTGGTAGGAACTGAGAGTATGCTGCAAGTTCTTCAGTTCTTGGCTTTTTGCCAGATCTGTGCTGTTAAAATCCAAAGGCTTGGCCTATTGCCATTATTGCATGTTATTGCACAAATCATGCAATACCACTTTAGTTGCAATTATTCTAGAAATATTTCTAAATGTGGAAAACCAAAACCTTCCAAATTACTTACCCATGTTGTGTATGACCCATTGATCAAAGCTATTGTCTTCACAGGCTACTGGCACCCTTGCTTATTATTGATATCTTGAAGCAGCTTTTCAGACGTCTTGGGACATTGTGACCAACATTTGACCCATAATTAGTAGTTTATTGATTCCACAGTCATGGGAAACCAGTGAGACCAAGTGGCACTCCGATAGCACAGCAGTGGTTCATGAAGTGGCCATTTAAATGACTAAGACACACCTTCTGTTGCTCCTTGGAATTCTCTCTGTGGGACCTCTGTCCCTGCATTGCTCTCTACAGTGATGAGAAAGCATCTTGAAGTATCCTTCAAGATGACCTTTCGTGAAATTCAGCTCTACTGCCAAGATGGGTCAAACTTGTGATGATACTTTTCCAGATAAATGACCATTCATCAGATGTGAAGATTGGTTTTTAAACCAGAGGTAGGGCGCAGCCACTAGAATTGGCCAATTGGTCTTGGTTTTTGTGGTGATTGGAAGCAGGTGGGTCTTATTGACTGAGATCCTTGATTGGGGTGTTAACCTGGGCCAATCGGGGAGCCCTGGCTGACAGATCTAAACAGAAGATTCACTGAATCTCCTGACTGCAGGAACTAACTCCAAGCTGACTGGTCACAGCTAGTGTACTGTGCACGTGTAAACCTTTATTTATTGATTCATAGAATGAGGGCATCGCTGGCTAAGCAGCATTTATTGCCCATCCGACAGTTTAGAGTCAACCATATTGCTGTGGGGCTGGAGTCACATGCAGGCCACAGCAGGTAAGGATGGCAGTTTCCTTCCCTAACGGACGTTAGTAAACCAGATGGGTTTTCCCGACAATCGACAATGGATTCACAGTCATCACTAGACTCTTAATTCCAGATATTTTATTTAATTCAAATTCCACTATCTGCTGTGGTGGGATTTGAACCTGGGTCCCCAGACCATTACCTGGGTCTTGGATTAACAGTCCAGCAGTAATACCACTAGGCCGTTGCCAAATAAAGGCTGACTTGTGAGACAACATGCCAGCCTCTTGTGCATTTATTTCAGTTTTTGTCTGTTTACAGCAGTGGCTGCAATCATGGCCATTCCCTGGGAGTTTTATGCACTAGTGTTCAACAGTGCAAGACATCAATGTTTATAAAACTTTTAATCAATCAATCAATCTTCTCCAATGTTAAAAGTTAGACAACAGCCCATCAGAAATTGAAGCCAAAGTTATTTTAATCAATTTGGTGTTAAGATCAAACTAGGTTTTTTTCCCTTACTACCTGCAAAACATGCACCTGTACTACTGTATCAGTAAATCTTTATTACCTGACCTTTGCTGGACAGAAACTGAGGCTGGAACTTGGGATACCACTGCTGGCTCCTGTCAGGGTGTAACCCATTGTTAACCAGTACCCTCTGAGCACGTTCTTCAGACTGGGAACTTGCACTGAATGTCACAAACATGCCAATCCCCAACTAAACACTGCTGATAGCAAACATTAGTGACAACCAGAGACTGTTCACTGCTGAATCACAAATGTTGTTCAAGTTTTTTTAAGGTTTTAAAATCATAATTATAATCTCATGGTGAACCAATAGAATGTAATTTTGTTTTTCAAGGCTTTGTTTACAGAAAGAATAAAACTAGTTCTGAACACTTTCAATAGCTAATACCACCCCCTCCTGCACTCCTATTGCATAGAATCATAGAATGGCTACAGCATAGAAGATAACCAGTTGGCCCGTTTCATCTGTGCCAGATCCCTGCTAAAGCAACTTAGTTAGTTCTACGTTGCCAGTCCTCTATGCTCACCCCAGCCATCTGTCTCCTGTCCACTTTACTTCAGGTGACTGCTTTGAAGCCACTGGTTCAAATCCCACCATGACAGCTGGTGGAATTTAAGTTCAATTAATAGGTTCAGGTGTTTTTTTTTGTAAAATGAAGCTATTCTCAGTAATGATGACGTTAACAGTTGTCAGTGATAGTGACTTTGATATTACACCCTTACAATAATGCACTAGCTGTAAATTTCAAAAACATTGTGAAATGTAATTTGTTACAATTAGCAAACTTTTTAAGGGAGAAATTGTGAGTTTTATTTCAAAACCCAGTCTAAAAACAAAAATGTCCCGGAGGATTGTTTCATAAGTTGATTCCCTCGAGAACTAACTTGCAGCCTGTGTCGAGTTGGATTCTCTTCCTAGTCCTTTGATGCAGTGCTGTACTTACTGCTGGAGAAAATGTGCATTATCATTACAGCAACAACAACGGAAGGCAATAATCCTGATCAACTTGTCCGGTAAATTCGCAACATCGTATCCCAACAAAACATTCAGTCCCAAAAATCTTGATTGCGTCTGTTCTGACGAATTATCAAGAACAATTCTATAATCGTTAAGTCGCACCACTCCAAATAACTGTATTACTGAACTCCCGTGTCAGTCACATTGGGTGTTTTCTCTTGTACTGTTTGGCAAATTGCGGAAACATTTTACTTCTACATCTATCGACTTCAAGCAACTGTGTCATTTCACATCTTCTGATACTTACAGCCATCATGCTTGGCTTGGTGTCTTTTCAATGATTTTGCAGGAGACGGTACTTTCTTGAAGTTTGCGGTATATAAACAACAAGCGGTGCTTTGCACACATGTAAAGCAGTTCAGAGTTGCACTTTAAAACTTGCTCGTCCAGTCACCCCTACGCCTATTGAGCTGGGACTGTTGATCTGTCACATGAAACTGACTGACCATATGTGGCTCCCCGTCTGCTTCAGCCACGAACTGCAGGCTGGGATTTGTAGTTCGTTAAATCAAGAAACACGCATCGTACCATCACATTGCATCGCACTACCAAAGCAAATTTCAATCTTCTTTACAGAGGCGCAGTTTCAAAGACTACACCAGGGAGAGTTAGTGTAGCCGCATTGGCAAACAATTCATTACCCTGACTGAAACCAAATTCAAATTTTCTAACAATCAGTACCAATCTGATTTGCAAAAGCGAGCTGAACAGTTTGTGATTAGGGGATAGTGAAATATGGGTACCAATCCGCATCCTAGGCTGGATGAGAGATGACATGAGGAATTATTAGATAAACACGTGTTGGGTTGGCCACTGTCATTGCCAATTTGATAAAGCGTCGCGACAGTGATTAATTCTGTGTAAAATTGTTTCAGCCAGACTCTCAAAAGTCAAAACAATGATAAGCCATGGGAAGGCATGGTTCTGTAATGATTCCCTCCACCTGACAAAGGAGCAGCTCTGAAAGCTTGTGTTTTCAAATAAACCTGTTGGACTATAACCTGGTGTCAATGATTTCTAAGTTTATCCACCCCAGTCCAACTGCCAGCACCTCCACATCATCTGTAATGGTTGAAATTTTGATCAACCAAAGGCAGGTGTCTGTGAGAGAGGAGGCCATGAGGTGATATCTGCCCAAATATGTCCAGCCAGAGTTCGCAGCTTTATCCTGTGAATTGTTTAACCATTATCATTGGCAGTGGTGTTGGTGGAAAACGGTGCTAGCAACTTCATTAGAGACAACAAGAAGGAGATGGAAGGAGGGGCGCAGGGCGCAGGTCTGCTGTACCCAATACAATGCTGTGTGATTGATGTTTGGAATAAAACAAATGACATTTTACAGATTTTCTCCCTTTTCCCAACCTCTGCTGGCTGTTCCAAAGGAAAAGGTGGAAACCAGACATTTAATTTAATTGTCTCCCCGGTCCATTATGATCCCTTCCTTCTAAGTCGGCTTAGACCCCAGACTCCCTGTCGTTTATGTTATTTTTATGTAATATTGGACTTATGCAGATGCAAAGGTCAACAGCATGATGTAGAACGATCCATCAACCACAACCCAACCAAATAGTTTGCATTGGATTGTACTGCCTGAGGGTGTGGCAGGGAGAGATTGAATCGAGGTATTCAAAAGGTATGCATTTATATGTAAAGGAATAATGTGCAGGGTCACCAGGAGAAAGCAGGACGATGGCAGTAACTTTGGAGAGTCAGAGCAAGAACAATGGACTGATTGCCTCTGTGCTGTAACGCTCTGTGATTCTGTAAACAGGTTAAGTCCTACTATTCTCTAGAGATGTGTTATTTGATCATTTGAGATGTGTGCATCAATAACCCATTAAAAAACCTGTGAATAACACATTTTAATTAGGTAGCGTGAATATTTATGAATGGCTTGTGATTGATTTATCTCTGTTTATGCTTTGACATTAGATGTAATGAATAATGATATTGATTCAACATGTGCTTGACCATATCTGCCTTCCTCGGAGAAGAGATAAGTTATAGCATTGCTCAGTGAATTTATCAATCTACTTTTGATTTTGAGCAAACTCCAAATTGGTACTAGATGTAAGTATGATGTGGATGAATGTTGAGCAGAAGTTACTAAAGGACAGCACTCCTCAGCTCAAACATGAAAAGTCCTAAGTGATGAAACTGAACAGACCTTATGCGATTCCAAAGAAAGACACAAGATCCTGGCTCTAACAGCCCAAGATAGCACATGACATCAGTTCAAAGAAAAACAGGCGAGCATCTTCAACAGCTCATATGATCATTTGATCATTTATTACCACAATGAAGTATTCATTAATCCTACACTATTAGATCCTTGATGATTCACTCTGAGACCAAAGTCTAAAAATAGCAGCCACTTACAGCTGAGGTTTAAGACTGTTTAATTAATAGATTAACAGCTATGTTATAATATTGAATATCAATGTGCATGGCTTGTGTTGTTGTAAATGTATTTCACAAAGATTTCCAGTTGCAGTTTTTACAGTTTATATTATGTAATGGTATGGTGTCCTAGGCCCAAACAACTTCAGCTACTTCATCAACGACATTCCTTTTAACATAAGATCAGAAGTAGGGTTGTTCATTAATGATAGTACCATGTTCAAAATCACCTGTGACTCCTCAGATGGTGAGGAAGTCCATGCCCAAATGCCACAATATCTGGACAACAAGAGAGAATCTATCCATCATCTCTTAACATTAGGGTGGCACGTTGGTCAGTGGTTAGCACTGCTGCCTCATTCCAACCTCAGGCAACTGTCTGTGTGGAGTTTGTATGTTTTCCTTAGGTCTGCATGGGTTTTTGCCAGATGCTCCAGTTTCCTCCCACTGTCCAAAGATGTACAAGTCAGGTGAATTGGCCATGCTAAATTACCCATCATGTTCAGGAATGTGTAGGTTAGATGCATTAGTCAGGTGAAATACAGGGTTACAGGGATAGGGTAAAGGAATGGGTCTGGGTGGAATGCTCTTTGGAGGGTTGGTGTGGACGTTTTGGGCTAAATGGCCTATTTCCACACTCTGGGGATTCTATAAAAATTCAATTATGTAACCATTGTTGAATTCCCACTATTAACATGCTAAGAGTTACCATTGACCAGAAAATGAACTGGACTAGCCACATAAACACAGTGACTACAAGAGCAGGTCAGAGATAAGGAATCCTGCAGTGAGTAAATCACCCCCGTTTCCCCAAAGCCTGTCTGCCATCTACATGGGACACGTCAGGAGTGTGATGAACTACTTCTCACTTGTTTGGATGAGTGCAGCTCTAATAACACTCAAGAAATTAGACATCATCCATAAGCATCTGTTCCGTCCATCACTGATGCTCAGTAGCAGCAGTGTGTACTATTTACCAGATGAACTGCAGAAACTCACCAAGATTCCTGAGACAAAATCTTCCAAATGCAAGAACACTATCATCTAGAAGAATAGAAGTGACAGTTACACCACAATCTGCATGTTCTTCTTGAATCCATTATGACCTCGAAATATATCACTATTCCTTCACTATCACTATGTTAAAATGCTGGAACTCTCTCCATAACATCATTGTGGGTGTGCCAAAATCGCATGGAATTCAACAGTTCAAGAAGGCAGCTTACCACCATCTTCTCATGGGCAACTATGGATGGCAAAGAGTGCTGATCTAGCCATTGAAGCCCGCATTTCCTGAATTAATATATATATATTTTTTAAAAATCAGAAGGAATTTCATGTCTTGTAAATAATTAGCAACGTTAGTAAACAATTCTTCTGAAGAGGAGTTTTATCAAGCTCAGAACACTCATCCTGTTTCTGTCTCCACAGACCTGCTGAGTTTCTCCGGCATTTTCTGTTTTTATTTCAGATTTCTAGCATCCGCAGTTTTGTTTTTCCGTAAAATTAATGAATTCGAAGAAAGGAAAATGAGTGTCCTACACATTTGTAATGTATACTGATGTGAATTGGGTGTAGCCTGGAATTCTAAATTTTCTTCAATATGAATCTGGTGTATACTCTGGAGTTCTTTTTCACATGCCCTTTTCCTGGACATTGTCTTAGCCACATCAGTCTTATCCTCATCGTTCTATGAACTGTAAGTTCTACAGCTCATTAGATTTACCTTTTGAAGCTTTTTCAAATGACAGGGCTTGGCCAGCTTTAGGGTATAGCTAAAGAACTAGGTGTTAGCTTTATAAAAATGCATGTTCTCTTTAAGGGACTATTTGTCCTCTGAAAATCACAATTTACAAAGTGGTCAGTATGGAAATTCATGACATTGTTTATTAAAAATGACATTTTGTTTGGGAACTCAACTAAAGTTTTCCACAACAGACATAAAAGTAGGCTGAAATTTCATAAGCTTTTTTCAAGCAGATCTTGGACAAAACTAACGAGAGTGCATAATGCATGACTGAACCTGCCCTAATAGAAAAGCAAAATACTGGATTTGTGAAATAAAATCAGATGCATCCAGAAATAGTTAATTAGCATCCATCTCACATCAAATTGTCAAAAATATCTTTCAAAAAAAGATTGGTTTCTACTATCTTGAAGGTAGGAATTTATAAACTTCTTGTAAAGTGAGCATTTCTCTAATCAACAGCAATTAAGATAATTGCGTGAAATATAAACAAGAAATGCTGGGTGTACTGAGGAAGCTTTGCAATGTCTATAGAGAGAAACATAACTAAAATCTCAGTTTTGTTCTTTTTGTTCATTGGATGTGGACATTACTGGTTAGGGCAGTATTTATTGCCCATCCTTTATTCTCCTTGAGCTGGTGCTGGTGAGTCCCTTTCAAACAACTGCAATTCTCAGGGGGTAGCTATGTCTACAAACCCATTAGGAAGGGAGTTCCAGAATTTTGACCCAGTGAAAATACATTGATATAATTCTAAGTCAGGATAGTGTATGACTTGGAGGGAAACTTTTAGGTGGTAGTGGGTGTTGCCATGTATCTGCTGCCCAGTATTCCCACCAGGGTTGTGACATATTCTTAAATTCCATGTTGACTCCAGAGTGCTGTCATGTGTCTACTCGAAAGATGAGGTACGGCTCCCTAAACTCAAGCTGCACTTCATTGGAATAGTAAGAGTTGAAAGCCAGAGAAGACAGAGTGGGAATAAAGTGGACAATTAAAAAGACTGACCAGAAGCTTGGGATCAGGTTTATTGAATGAATTATGGTGTTCTGTAAAGTAGTCACACAACATGTATATGGCCTCCCCAGTGTAAAGTAGTCGACATATAGTGAGCAAGAAATGTAGAATAAGTTAACAGAAATACATGAAATTTACTGTCTCACCTGAAAGGAGCATTTGGAACCATGGAATGTCGGAAATGGGATAAAATGGCAGATTTTGCATCTCCTGTACTGGAGTGGAAAGTGTAGTGATTGGAACGAGGTCAGCCAGGTGGCTCTCATAGAATATGAATTCCTTCATTGGGGCTGTTAATCTGGTCCAATCAGGGAGCCCTGGCTGACAAATATAAACAGGAGTGTCAGGGATTCTGTTCATTCTGGAAGCTGGCTCTGTATGATCTGGATCAATGTCGCGTACAGTGCACATGTAAATAAAGGGTGTCTTGGTGACGGAATACCAGCCTTCATGGAGTTATTTCAGCGGCGACAAGAGAAAAACACATCCCTGAAGAGATTTTCTGGCAACAGTTGTCTTTGAATTGGCACAAGCATTTCTGGCATCATGCCATTATTTAGGAAGCTTGACTCATTCGATCCTGCCATCAAAGACTGGGCCCAGTATGTGGAAAAAGTGTATTATTTTTTTCCAGGCAAATGACATTGGGGCAGATGAAAAGCAACGGATTATTCTCCTGACAGTATGTGGACCCGCAGCTTTCTCTGTTATTAAGAGCCTAACTTTCCCAGAGGCAACCAATACTTAAACCTTGCAAAAGTTGATGAATTTAGCTAAGGAATAATATGACAGCAAGTCTCCTCTAATTCTGAAATGCTATTAGTTTTACCCAACAATTCAAGAACGAGGGAAATCTGTTTTGGAATTTTTGACAAGGTTAAGATGACTAGCAGAGGCATGTGATTTTGGTTTAACCCTAAGTGAGATGCTGACAGAATGTTTCATATATAGGATTAATGATGTGACCATGCAAAAGTACTGACTAGCTAAAGCCCAACTGGACTTCAAACAGGTGCTACAACTGGCATTGTCATTAGAAAATTAGAAAGTGGAACTTATGAGTAACAGGGTTTCTCAATGGAAGTGGACACCCTTGCCAGACCAACCGAGCTTAGGGATCACCATTTCAATGAAGGTAATTGCATAACCTCACTCAGGACATATCCTGAACAAAGGGACCCTCAGTTAGTCCACAACGAAACCCCAAAACAAAGCCAAGCCTCAGCCAAATGGGTATTCTCGAGGATCCGTGATGGCAGCCCATTGTAGTTACTGTCAGCAAGGGGGACTTGAGACAGCAAAAGAGTCCCATTAGGCCTGAATTGAGTAAGGGAACTCATAGGCCAGTATCTAGGAAAGTGCACACCGTGGAAAGTCCACCTCCAGCTGGTTTGGAACAATTAAATTGCTTCGCAACATCCAAATCAGAACCAATCAAAATAAATTGTTTCAGACATAGTAGGAACTGAGATGCTGGAGAATCTGAGATAGCAAGGTGTAGAGCTGGATGAACACAGCAGGCCAAGCAGCATCAGAGGAGCAGGAAGGCTGACGTTTCGGGCCTAGACCCTGCTGTGTTCATGCAGCTCTACACGCTCCCAATCAAAATAAATGCCTGGTTAAATGGTCACACAGTTCTAATGGAGGTCGATGCCAGTGTGGCTGTATCAGTGATTGCAGAAGCAGTCTTTAACAAAAATCACTCTGGACTGCAACCCTTAAGTTTGCATAACAACTTGGCCAGGCTGAGAACCAGGGAATCCCTACAGATTAAGGGGACAACTTCGATTCTGGTCTCTTATGAGAAGTAGCTGGTTCAGTTACCACGGATTGTAGTGAAAGGCTCGAGCCCAAACTTGATGGGGTGAGATTGATTGAGAAAGATTTAACTTGAACAGCTCAACAATTTTTGATTAGAAAATTCCTGCCTGAGTGAAGTCCTAATTAAATACCCAGAAGCTTTTCAGGGAGGTCTGTGGATTATCAAAGGGGCCAAGGCCCACCTTGCATGTTGACTGAGAAGCAATCCCACTATCCTGCAAGGCCTGCCCAGTGCGATTTGCTTTATGTGCAAACATAGGTGCAGAAATCAGGAGGCTGGAAAGCGAAGGAATCATCAAACCAGTACAGTTTGCGGAATAGGCAGCACCAGTCATTCCAGTTGCGTAGCCCAACAGCTCGGTTGGCCTAGTGGGAATTTCAGACAAACAGTGAACTGCTTCTAATAGTTGGATAAACACCCAATCCATTGCAAAAATGGTGGGTGGGGGGGCGCAGTGTGGTGGTGGGCTGCTGTCCTTCATGAAGTTGGACATGAGCCATGCATACCTGCATTTGCAATTAAATGAGGATTTGCAAAAGTATACTACAATTAAACCCTTAGGATTTGTACCAATATAAGAGACTGCCTTTTGGGATATCATCAACCTGCGCCATTTCCAGCAGATGATGGAGAACATTTTACAAGGCCTATCCCAAGTGCCATTTATCTGGATAATGTGCTAATAATCATGAAGATTAATAACGAGTATTTAGAGAAACTTGGACATAGCGCTTAAATATTTCTCTAAAGTGGGATTATTGCCTTAGGAGGGAAAATTGTGTGTTCCAGGTACCCCAAGTGACCCTCTTGGGCTACAGAGTTATCAAGACCAGGTTACATCGTTGGAAGATAAAGTGAGCGGGATTAAAGGTGCCTCGGCACTCATGCCTGTGCCGGAGATTAGGTCTTTCGTGTGATAGGTGAATTATTACAGAAAATTCATATGTAACTTGGCAAGTGGAGGCAATGGCCTCGTGGTATTATTGCTGGACTGTTAATCCAGAGACCCGGTTAGCATTCTGGGGACCTGTTTGGAATACTGCAATGGCAGATTGTGGAATTTGAATTCAATAAGAATATCTGGAATTAAGAATCTAATGAGACCATGAGCCAATTGCTAATCGTCGGGAAAAACCCATTTGGTTCATTAATGTCCTTTAAGGAATGGAACTGCTACCCTTATCTGGTCTGGCCTACATGTGACTCCAGACCCACAGCAATGTGGTTGATTCTGAACTGCCCTCTGGGCAATTAGGGACGGGCAATAAATGCTGCCTGGCCAGCGATGTCCTCATCCTGTGAATGAATAAAAAAATACTATCCTGGCACCCTTACATTTGCTATTGAAAAAGGGTCAGCCTTGGAAATCATTTCCTAGTCAAGACATTGCCTTCAGGGAAGTGAAAAAGGAGCTATTGTTGTCTGATGTGCTTGCACAATATGATCCCGAGCGAGATGCAGTGCTGATGTGTGATGCTTCACTGTGTGGTATTGGGGAAGTGTTGGGTCACGGATGGCCCAATGGTGAGGAATGCCTGATAGCGTATGTTTCCTGGACTTTGGTTGATGCTGAACGATGATATGCCTGGATGGAGAAGAAAGGTTTGGTGGTCACCTTTGGTGTGAGAGCATTCTGCCAATACCTTTACAGATATAATTTTGTAATAGTAATGGAGCACAAATCCCTGCTGGGGCTACTTAAAGAGGACAGGGATGTGCCACGCACTCTTATTCTGAGTGCATACAATTAGAAGTTGGAACACTCTCTGGGACGTAAAGTGGCAAGTGCAGATAACTAGAGCCACCACCCATTGGCGGATACACCGTCAGTTTAAAATTTTCTGGACACCCTTCTGGTCATTGCTGACAATATCAGACTGTGGATGCAATAAGATCCCACCCTGGCAAAACTAAAACACCTGGTGGTGATGAGAGGAAACAAAGGGCCATCACAACCAGCACTGAAACCTTTCTGTACCAGGCAAGACCAGATCACCATAAAGGACGGGCATATTATTGTGGGGAGCGAAAGTGATCGTCCCGAGCAAAGGTCACCACCAAATACTGGCTGAACCCCACCAGGGTTATCCAGGGGTTTCCAAAATGAAGATGTTGGCGAGAAGTTATGTCTGATGGCCAGGATTGGATATTGACATAGCCACATTTGTGGGGCAGTGCCCAGAGTGCCAACAAGGACAGAAATTACACCATCTGCTCCCTCACATTCATGGGAATGGCCAGGTAATCCCTGGACTTGATTACACAATGACTATGCTGGTCCTTTCATGGGCTTAAAGTTTTTAGCCATTGTGGACATCCAGTCAAAGTGGTAGGATGTGCATAGAGTTTATTCATCAAACATGGGGACGATGATTGAAAAGCTGTGAGCAGCTTTTGCAATATACAGACTTCCAGGGGTGTTGGTCACAGACAACAGGCCATCATTTACCATCAGTATTTCCTGAAGTCGAATGGCATTCAGCATGTTTAGATAGCACCATACCATCCATTATCCAAAGGTCTTGTGGAAAGAGCAGTCCAAACTTTGAAGGTAGGCTTGAAGAAACAGCCTACAGCTTCAGTCAATTCCAAACTATCCTGGTTCCTGTTTGATTATAGGACCACTTGTCATGCAACTACAGGGAGAGCTCCAGCAGAGTTGTTAATGGAGAGAAGACTCCACACCAGGTTAAATCTGATCTTCCCAGACTTGGGGAGGAAGGTGAAACGGCATCAGGAACCCCAATTCCAGACCACCAGACTAAGAGAGACAGGCAGTTTACTTCTGAGGACAAAGTTTGGTGTTGAAACTATGGAAATGGCTGTGCATGGATAAGAGGCTTGGTTGACACGAGGTTAGGTCCCGTGATGTACAAAGTTCAGGTAGGAGATGCAGTCCTGAGCAAGCACATGGACCGCATGAAAGCTGCAACCTCACAAATGGGACAGACGCAAAATATACCTGGCCCCTCAGAACATTCGGCAAGGCTATCAGAACTCGTGAATTCTCACCCTCCACCTTCCCTCAATAAAACTCCTGAGGGTGAGATGGACAAGGCAGATGTCACAGCCTCGATGCCATTATCACCTGAATAAAATGAGTTTCGGCCAAGAAGCTCCAGCTGCAAGAGGCAGGCTACAGTCTAGTACAGGCCACCAGCACCCGAGGCAGAGTCGGAGGAAGCAGACCTAGTGTGAAAACACTCAAGGAGAAGCTACAGGAAAAGGAACGGGCTTATGTTCCAGGACTTAGAGGGGGAGGAATGTAGTGATTAGAACAAGGTCAGCCAGGTGGACCTCATTGAATATGAATTCCCCAACTGGGGATCAGTTGTTAACCTGCTCCAATCAGGGAGTCCTGGGTGACAGAAATAAATAGGCGTGTCAGGGGTTCTGTTCACGCTGAGACCTGGCTCTGTGCTAGCTGGGTCAGTGTCACGTACAATGCACATGTAAATAAAGGGTGACTTGATGATGGGATACATGGAGTTATTTCAGAAAGGTGCTGTAAGAAGATCTGGGATGATTGAGGAGTGGAATAGCATGTTGCAGAAGGAAGGATTTCTTCAGATAGGAGGTTTGCTTAATGGTAGCATCATGTTGGCAGTGACAGAAATGGTAGAGGATGGTTAATCAAATGTGGATGTTGATGGGGTGAAAGGCAATGCGAAAGCACCTTCATTTGGCAGGGATCGAGAGAGGGGAAACCAGAGTGCAGTAACTGAAATGGAAAAGCATAAAATGGAAAGAATGGAAAAGACTATCAACTGTTGTGGAGCCCAGATGGAAATGCCAGTTAAACTAACCAATGAGACATACTGGTCAACAAGGTGCAGGGCTGGATGAACACAGCAGGCCAAGCAGCATCATAGGAGCAGAGAGGCTGACGTTTCGGGCCTAGACCCTTCATCAGAAAAGAGGGAGGGGAAGGGGGTTTTGAAATAAATAGGGAGAGAGTGGGAGGCGGATAGAAGAGAGGATAGGTGGAGAGGAAACAAACAGGTCGAAGAGGCGGGGATGGGGCCAGGAAAGGTGAGTGTAGGTAGGGAGTTAGGAAGGGGATAGGTCAGTCCAG